GCGCGCGTCGGCCCGCGCGGAAACGAACCCCCCCCCCCCCCGGCCGCGCCGCGACCGCGCGCCGCGCCGCAGGTCGACGCCGCGCTGCGGCCGGCGGCCTTCGCGGGCGAGGCGCCGGCGGACGCGCGCGTCGTCGCCGTGCCGCGGGCGTCGCTCGACGCCGCGCTCGCGGGCGGCCTCGAGTTCCCCGTGGCCCCGTGGCTCCGTCGCCGCGGCGTCGACGTCCGCGGCGCCGCGGCGTTCGCGTGGGCCGGCGGCGCGGGCGCGCTCCAGGCCCAGGGCGCCTACGACGCGGCCCTCGCGGCGGGCCGCGGCTTCGGCGCGCCGGCCGCGCGGCGCGCGCCCGCGCTCCTCGCGGCGACGGCCGCGGGCGTCGACCGGGGCGGGAAAAGAGAGCGAAACGTCAAAGGCTCCTCTCTCGGTCGGTTTCCACTCGTTTTGGCTGATTTTTGGACGAGCGACCATCTCTCGGAACGGTCTCGAAGCATGGATGCTTTTTCCGGAACGCGCGCGCGCGGAACACTCAAGCGACGTTGCATCTCTCTGTTCCTGCCCAGGCGTCTACGAGCGCACGCTGAGCTTTCTCCTGAGCCTCGAGGGCCACGGCCGCGACGCCTTCGACCTCGTCGTCTGCGCGAGCCCGCGGCCCGGCGACCGCACGGCCGACGCGCTCGAGGCCGCGGGCTACGAGGTCCTGCGCCAGCCCGGGGCTGTGTGGAAACCAAATCTTCAACCCGACTTCAATGTGAGCGTATGCGAACGTTTCGACGCATGGTTTTCTGCCGTGCTTCGAGAGCTCGACGAGAGCAATCGATTCGTCCAAAAATCAGCCGAATCGACTTCGATTTGATCGAGCTAGAGAATTCTGAAGTTTGGTCGGGACCACCCAAACCAGTGGTTGGTTTCCACACTGGCCCGGGGCCGCGCGGGCCTCGACCGCCGGCGCTCCCGACCGCGCTTCGACACGCTCGAGCTCGGTCGACGCGGTTCGTGTTTGGACGACTGCGTTCCTCTTCTCGAGTGCGCCGCGGATCCCACACGAACGCACGTCGGGGCGGGTCGACTACGCCTCGAAGTCGAGTCGAAAGATTCGATCGAAACCCCAGGCCGGAGGCGACGGGGCTCACGGACCTGTGGAACCGCGCGGTGGCCCTGGGCCTCGCGCGGGGCTACGAGGCCATCCTCGTCGCGAACAACGACGTCCTCGTGCCCGACGGCGCCGTGGCCGCGCTCCTCGCCGCGCTCCGCGCGCCGTCGCCGCCGCGCCTCAAGTCGCCGAAGCCGCCGGTGGTCGTGCCCGCGCCGAACGACGGCGGCGGCTCCTACCACTTCTACGCCGCGGACGGCGCCCGCGAGGCGTCCTACGCGGGCCAGGCCCTGTCCTTCGCGCGCGTCGGCGGCGGCGCGGCGACGCCGATCCGCAACGCGTGGGCGCGCGACGTCGCGAACGTCGGCTCCCGGCTCCCGGGCTGGACCGCGTTCTTCTTCCTCGTCGACGCGGCCTGGGCGAGGGCCCACCTCCTCGAGGGGGGGCGGCTCTGGAACGACACGCGGTGGAAGAACTTCGGCCAGGAGGCCGAGCTCTCGAAGCGCACGCGGACCAAGGTCGAGTACGCGCCCGACGCCTACGTGTTCCACTTCCGCGGCGGCACGCTCGGCGCCAAGGCCTGCCAGAACGGCCACAAGGACTGCGCCACGTGGCAGAAAAACCACCGGCCCGACGTCGGCGTCTACGTCCGGGGCATGTTCTAAGCGCGTCGATATCGATCGTCTCGCAATCCCGGCCTCGAACCTGGCTTCAAGGTCTACTCCAACATGGCTATCTCTATGGAAGAGAGCCGCGCGCAGGTAAGGAGCGCACAGCGGCCTGGCGAGCCTAGTACACGGGAGCCGTTGGGTTAGTACTCGAGGAAGTAGGGGGGGCGCCGCGCGGCCCGGGCCACGTCGTGGGCCACGGTCGCCGGTGAGGGCCGCAACGGCCAGGGCTGGGCGAGGTGGCCGCAGGGCGGCGCGCGGCTCGCGTCGACGCGGTCCGCCGCGACGTCGAGGATCGTCCGGTGGCCGCTGAGCTTCTTCACGTTGCGCTTCACGGCGCCCGCGTCGACGAGGAGCGCCGCGATGTCGGCGTGGCCCGCGGCGAGCGCCGACTGGAGCGGCGTCACGCCCGCGGCGTTCTCCAAGTTCACGTCGACGCCCGCGCCGAGGAAGACGAGCGCGCAGGCGCGGTAGCCGAAGTGGCACGCGAGGTGGAACGGCGTGAGGCCGTCGGCGTTGGCTTTGTTGATCTCGAAGCCCGTGAGGTAGAGCTCCTCGAGGCACCAGGGCCGATTCTTCGTCACCGCGCGCCACGCGCGCTGGTCCGCGCGCAGGTGGTTGATCTCGCGCATCGCGACGTCGTTCTCGAGCCGCGACTCGACGACGCTGTCGACGGGCAGCGGGTGCGGGTAGATCATGCGGTAGTTGTAGGTCGGCCGCCGCAGCTTCGAGTCGAGCGGGATCTCGATGAAGCGCATGGGCTCGGCGCGCGCGACGCGCTCCATGAGCGCGTAGCGCTCGCGCTCGTCCATGTCGCCGCGGAACTGCGCGGCGTCGTCGATGAGCTCCTGGTGGCCCATGGCCGCGAGGCGCTCCGCGCGCCGCTCCGCGGCCTGGGCGGCGACGGCGCGCTCGTGGATGGCCAGCGCGTCCGGCGGCAGCGCCGCCTCGAGGCGCTGGCGCCGGTGCGCGTGGTCGACGGCCTCCGCCCCGCGCCGCTTGCGCTGCGACGCCATCGAGCGCGGCGGAGCCCGGCCTACGCCATCATAGCGCGCCCTTGGGCAGCTTCGCGCTACGTTGCACCCTGCCGTGCCCTTGCCGCCCGATCTCAATAATTCATTGGACGGCGAGGCAGCCCCGCGTGGCCTGTTGCAATCACCGTCGATCCTCGTCGTGCACAATGGCCGACTTCTGCATCAGCACCTGCGGCGGCAAGACCATGGCCGAGTGGGACGAGCTCGAGCAGGCCAAGGCCGCGGAGACGGCGAAGAAGGAGGCGACGGCCGTGTCGCTGCAGAAGATGGAGCGCGCCAAGCAGGACGTCGAGGCGACGCTCAAGTCGACGCAGGAGGAGCTCAAGGCGTCGCGGGACCACGAGGCCCTCCTCGAGAAGGCCAAGGCCGCGGCGGAGAGCAACATCCGCGTGCGCAAGGCCGTCTCCGCGGTGCGCGAGAAGTTGCTGAAGACCAAGGAGGCGCAGCTCGCGAACGCCAAGGAGGGCGAGGAGGACCTGGCCAAGGCCATCGGCTCCCTCGAGGCGGACCTCAACGTCCTCATCGCCCAGTCCGAGGAGGGCGCCGAGAAGCACGTCGCGGCCATCGGCGACACCTACGAGTCCGTCATCGCCGCGGAACTCGAGACGAAGACGAACCTCGAGGCGGCGCTCGCGGCCGTCGTCGCGTCGCAGGAGGCGGCGAAGAGCCGCCTCGAGGAGGAGATCAAGGCCTGCGAGGAGTCCCTCGACAAGTGGAGCCACAAGAAGGTCAGCCACCTCGCCGCCGCGCGCGCCCGCGCCGGACCCGGCCGGTCGCACCCGCTCCGTCTCGGTCGCGTCGAGGTCGTCTCTCCGGATGTTTGGACGCGTGCGTGTCCCCCGTCGGGTGCTCGACGCCGAGTCAAAACACGTCCCTCGAAACCGTGCGACG